CTTCCAGCCTGCCACCTCTTCCCCAAGCAGGCCCGCCTGTCCCGGGCAGCCAGGCTGGGCGTGGGGGGCACTCGGCCTGGGGTCCCGCCCCCCCCAGGGGCCGCCTCCCAGGGAAAAGCAGCTGTGAGCAAGCCCAGGTCTCGCTGGCCTCAGCCTTGGGGAGGCCTCTACCGAATTCCCTGCAGGTGCTCAGCCCCAGGCTGCTTTCAGTGGGATTTAAAAACCCTTAAAAACCAGGAGGAAGCGGGGAGTGGGAGGCCAAGGGGAGCAGGGGTGGAGGGGACCGGCTTGCAGCCGGAGGCCAGGCCCTGGGCACCGCGGCCTCAGACTTTGGCCCCCGGCTCCCCACGTCAGCTGTTCTATTTCAGGCGGTTACTCCTCGGCCGGGGAATTCTCAGCGAGCCGTGGGAACCCAAAAAGGCGAAGAGGCTGGTGTGGCGGCCTCGGGGCGCCCCTCTGGTGCCAGGTGTGGGGGCCCCCAGGCTGGCATGCTGGCCCTGTCCCCATGGAGAGTGGCCCCGCCTCCTAAGCCAGCGTGGTGCTCCTGGGTCTTTTCCCACAGAGACCATTCATAGTTGTGAGAACCCGTGAAAGCCCCAAAGGGGCAGCCGAGGGCCACAGGCAGCCTTGGGGGTGTGTGTAGAGTGGGCTGGCTGCGTGGGGGCCGTGGGGAGCCCGACAGGGTCGTGGGCTGCAGGGAGACGCTGGAGGCCCCCCGTGCAGAGTCCAGCCCCAGCCCTCTCTTGTCTGTGCTGTGTGGCCTCGGGGAGGTCACCGAGGCTCTCTGAGCTCCTTGTCTCTGAAAATCCGACCACCTTCCCACCGTGCGCGGGCTTTGGGGAGACCACATTTACAGTCGCCCGGCAAAGGGAGGCACACAGTAGGTGCTCAGGAGGAGCAGCTGTGCGGGTGTTAAGGTCCAGGACGAGTGGAACTGGAGTGACGGGACAGGGACACAGGTGGGACACGGGCAGCCACATTTGTATTCCTTCCAAATGCCCCCGAGCCACTCATGCACCACCCACCCACGGCAACAACAAACGGATCTGAAAGCTTCCAGAACGTCCCCTGGCTCTTCGGGCCTGGGCCCCACCGGCCAGCCGCGGGAGCCTCTCTGTCGGTCTGGGCAGGACCTCTCCCTCCCCAGCAGGGATTAAGGCGGGGAGGGGGTTTGCAGACCGGAACAGGTGGGGCCCAGCCTGGGAGTTGGGACCGCATTCCAGGGATTCCTGCTCCCAGAGCCGCCTGGCCAGCCCTGCGGGCCTCGGGCCTGGCCCGGGCCCAGAACACCCTGCGCGGCCCGGAGGGGCCGTCCCTGAGACCCCCAGGCCTGGAGCCCTGCTAGGCTGAGGGCAGCCAGGGTTCCTTGCGGAGACTTTGAAGCAGCAGGGAGTGAAAACAAACTTTCTGGGTTTCACTGGGAGGGTCTTGGTTAAACATCTGCTGGGTGCCCCACCCCCTGCAGGCCCTGTGGCCGGAGCGGGCTGTCCCTGCTCCCATGAGCCCCCAGGAGTGGGGGCGGTGGAGCAGCCAGGGCCAGGGTGCTGCTGGCAGGGACAGGGAGGGGCAAGGAGGGACAGAGAAGCAGGAGGGGGGGGGAGGGGGCGGGTGGTGGCTAAGGCCGAGCCGGGGACTTTGGGGAAGGGACGTTCAGGTCCCCATGGCCCTGGGGCTGAGGGACTGACTGCGAGAGATGGTGGCTTTCCACATTAAAATGAGGCAGTGCCAAACAAACTGAACGCTCGGTCACCCTCGGGTGAGGCAGCCTAAGGGGTCACCTTAGAAAGGGTGGCGTCCCATCGGGAGGGGAGGTGGTGCAGGAGAAGGGAGGCTGGGGGGCTTCCTGGGGGTGAGAGGTAGAGGGGGCAAAGGGGTGGGTCCACGGTGGGCGCACTGGGCAAAGGCCCTGCGGGGAGAGAACTCCATGTCAAGAAACGGCAGTTCTTCCTGTCTCGCTGTCCCTCCTTTGCCCCGGACACTGAGGCTGGGGGAGACCACCAAGGCCGGGGACGCAGTCAGCACTGGCAATGACTTTCAGGACACCAGGGTTGGGAGTGGCCCATGGGGACCCAGGGACAGTGGGCAAAACGCCTGTCCTGATGGGCCACAAGGAAGCTTGGAGGGAGGGAGGGCAGAGCCCAGGGAGGGGAAATGGGGCGCAGCTGGCCCGCACCAGCTGTCCCGTCATAGGTACCAGGGGAAAAGGAACTTCACCCAGACCCCACTCACCTGGGCAGGCGGGACCCTCGGCCTCTCCGGGCGGGGACAGCAGCTCCCGGGGACCACGGCCCAGCCGAGGCTGGCCGTCCAGTCTGGAAATCCAGTGAGTTGCTCCTGGAAACCCAGGGTTCTGGGCTTCCCCTGCGGACTCTCCTTCGTCAACTGCCGTCGGAACCCAAAGCGGTGGGCTCGGCTGTTAAAGGGCCAGTGTCCCCCGCCCCCAGACTGCTGCCAGCCGCCACGTCTGAGTTTCCCTCACATGCTCTGCTTCTCATGGAGAGCCCCCCACTGTCCCCAACAAAGTGTGTATCACCAGGTGACTGAAGGTGGCTTCTCCAAAGCTTCAAGTCCGATAAAAAGGGGATATTCTTTTTAAAAAATATTTTATTTATTTCTTTATTCTTAGAGGGAAAGGGAAGGAGAAAGAGAGGGAGAGAAACATCAGTGTGCGGTTGCCTCTCCTGTGTCCCCCACTGGGGACCTGGCCCGCAACCCGGGCATGGGCCCCAACGGGGAACCAAACCGCGGACCCCCTGCCTCACAGGCCCGTGCTCCATCTGCTGCACTCCACCAGCCAGGGCAGAAGGGGATGTTCTGAATTTAAGTTCTGCCCCTGCCAAAGGACTCCTTGACCACTCCGTGGACACACCGAGTAACTCTCTTCTTCTGGGAAGAGAGCATTGCTTTTCAGTAATCAATTCACCGGTCATCCATCCATCCGCCCATCCAACAAGCACTTTTTAACTGACTTTAGAGAGAGAGGGAGGCGGAGGGAGGGAGAGAGAAACCTCGATTTGCTCCTCCACTCAATCACGCATTCACTGGCTGCTTCTTGTACGGACCCTGACCAGGAATCGATCCTGCAATGTTGGTGCATTGGGATGATACTCTAACCAACTGAGCCACCCAGCCAGGGCCTAAGAGTTAGACACGTTTTAATTTATTTTTATTTTTAAAAAATCCTCACCCGAAGCTATGTTCACCGACTTGAGAGAGGAACATTGATCCGCTTCCTACACAAACCCAGCCCCATCAGCCTGCAACCCAGGCAAGGGTCCTGACCCAGGGATGGAACCCTCAACCCCCTGGTGCCTGGATGACCTGCCAACCAACTGAGCAACGGGGCGGGGGGGGGGGGCTAGATGAGCTTTTCGAAGTTTTTGTTAAATCGCTTTATCTGCTGTTGCTTGGTTTCAGGATTTTAGCTATGACCATGGTGATGAAGGGGAAAAACATTCAACAAAGTTCAAGGATTTTCTAACTTTCACAGGAAGTTTCTATCTCCTGGAGGAGGGAGGTGAGGCCAGTTCACCTGGGAACCCCGTGTGAGTTCTGAGTTCTGGGGTCAGGGCCTCATCGCGCTCCACCTGGGGGTTGGAGGACTGGCTGTAATGCTTTCAGCTTGGCGCCGGGACCTGGGGCGCACAATTCGGGGGTGGTGTTAAGCTGGAGGGGGAGGCGGGCCTGGTAACTCTCAGTGGAGTTTGGGTTTGGACCGAGGACCCTGGGAAACCAGCTCTGAGTCTTCAGCTGGGTGTGACAGATTTGAGCTGGGGTTTTACAAGTTCCAACTGTGCTTCGGAGGTTTGAGCAAGGCCAGCTAGGAGGCGGGAACTAGGGCAGGCGGGCGGATGGAGAAGCCCTTCTCCATCCTGAACTTCTTTAGTCACTGTCTCTTGCTCCAGGTGAGCAGGTGCACAGGCGCACAGTCCTCTAGGGCGCAGAGCACCACCTCCAGCCGCTTTGGGGCAGGGCCCGGGTAGGACGACAGAGACTTGGCCCCCTTGGGGCTCCGGACTAGCTGCCAGGCTTCTGATCTGTTTCTATGGCAACCACGCAGATCACTTCCCCTGGCATTTCCATTTCAAATAGGCTGTCCTTTTGTTTGCAGGGTATCCCATGTCATATTCGGTGTCCCCATTTTTACTTGGGAAATAAGAGACCGCGTGTGACTCTGCCCGCGGGCGGGGCATCGAGCTGGGAGAACACCGCCACTTCTAAGACTCTAAGAGCCACGTGGGCAGTAGAAGTGGCGCAGGATCCGGAGAATGCTCAGGGCTCCGGGCCAGGACAGCGGCTCCAGTTCTCGTTTCGCTCCTGAGTACCCCCTCCGTGGGCCTCCTCTTCCCCTGTGTAACCGCAGGTGACGATACCTGTCAGGGACATCACCTTGCACAGGGCAGGGCAGCCTTCATGCTTGATAGGCTCTCCTCATTGGGGGGCTCAGGAGAGAAGCGGGTGCGCCCTGCGGGAGAGCCAGTACTGAGGCGCAGAGCCGGTATCCGGAAACTTTCGGGGCTCGGGGTCTTCGCTTCCAAGTGGGAAGGTAAGGGTCCCGCGCATTCGTGGAGACACTTCGCGGAGACTGCAGCCAGGGCCAGGCTTGTAAGCACTGGACGCGTCAGCTACCGCTCCGAGCGCGCGCGCGCGCGCGCGCGAGGGAGGAGGGAGGGACGTGAGCTCTGAAAAAACGTTGGGGCCCCGCCAGCTCCTCCCTGGAGGCACCACTGCGGGGCGAACTCAGGGTGTGAGCACTGGAGGGGCACAGTAGCATTTTGCGGTAGTGTCTTTATATTTCAGTTTTTAGAAAATGCAGGGGAAGAACGGCCTGCATCAGCCACCTTTGGAGTTAAGGCTTTTAAGCAGAAAGCACACACAACGTACTGCCCCTTTAAGGCGTTGGCCCCCGCCCGAAGTATTTTGCCCCTAGCCGCTGTCCGTAGCGCCCCTCCGAGAGGCCGGCTTTGTGCTCTTGCTCCGCCCCGACGCTGCTTTGGCCCTCCGCGCACGCGCACTGCGGCTCCGCGCCGACTAGTCGAGCTCGGCCCGGCTCCCGCCCAGTCGGCGGCCAGCGCGACTCCCGGAGCGCCTGCTGCCGTCCGCCACGGCCCGGGAGGTAAGCGGGGGACGCATAGCCCACGAGCACGCGCGGGGGATCTACGTCGTTGCTACCCCCAAACCATCGCTGCCGCACGTGTTCCGGCGGGCCTGGCCTCGGCCCGCTGGGGCCCTTCGGTGCAGATGTCCCGCGCGTCCACGCCGCCTCGCCTTCCGGGTACCCGCCTTGCGCCCCCTCGTCCCCTTATTGGAGACTCGCCCCCGGAGGCTCTGTGCCCCATCCCTCCACGGGCCCTCACTTGTTCCCGGGGATCCCGGGCGTTCACCCGTGTGGTGGCTCCTCAACGGCCTAGTGACAGGCGCTCCGCCCGGGGGCTGTGACTTCTTTCTGCGGTCAACCAGCATTTACCCTTGTTTCTACGGCCGCTTCAAAGAAAGCCCCCAGACCCACCGACCCCCGCGGCCTGCCTACATGGGGCGCGCGCATCCCGCCCGCCTTCGGCCTCGGCTCGCCCTGGAGCCTCGGCCAGCTTCTAGTCAGGTCTGCGAGGGCTTTTTTGGGTGATGTGAAAAGACACCGGGTCCGTTTCCCGGCGCTTGGACAGACCCGTTGGTCGACGCCACCTCCCAGTTGGCCCGGCTCCCGGAGGTGAGCCGGGACACACAGCACAACCCAGGCGGGAGAGCGCGCCGCCCGGTGACGACCTGTCTTCCCGCACCTGTGGGCCTGGCCTCCGCCCTGGAGCTCAGCGGCCCGCACTAACAGTGCATCTGGAACCGCCCGATGTCTGGGCGGCTGGGCCTTGGGCACCTTGGGCACCTTGGGTGAAAAGCCCGCAGGCAGGAGGCGGGATCTCCGGAGACTACCTCCGAGCAGTCGCCTCCTTCACCTTCTCAGACCTCATTTCTAAGGAGCCTCCCAGTGGCCACAAAACAATGGTTCCGCGGAACCACCGGAGCGTGTATGGAGAATGCAGACTTGCCACCCACCCTCCCCTTAGGTAGACATGCTTGGGACTCGGAGTCAAGCAACGCTCTCAGAACCCTAGCTGATTTTTTGAGTGTGAACCGTGGCTCCCCAGGTGTGGGCGGCTTGGCTGGGCATCCTGCCGACTCCTCACCTGAGAGCAGCCAGTTTGCTATAGTCCTGCCACACCTCCTGGTGGGTCTCAATTTTTATGCTAAAATGACCTGTCTGGATCCCCTGAGGGGCTCTTTCCACCCTGAGTGCAGCCTGCTGTGCTCCACAGTGTGGCACCTTGTGTGGTCTGGCTGCCACCTCTGCAGCCCCAGCCCTTAGTGACGCCTGCCGCCCCCCCCCCCACTTGTCCAGCCCCTGCCCGGTCCCCAAGGCCCTGGAGAGAGAGGCGGAGGAGCCTTTCTGAGCCTCAACCTTGTGCGAATGCTTGAGTGGTTCTCCCAGTCAGGTGGTCTCCGGGTCAGGTGGAGCCGCCTGCTCTCCCTCCCCCGCTCCTGGTGGGGCCATCCCTGCTGCGGGAAGCCAGGCCCACACTGCTCTGATGCTTTGTGACTCCTCCCTGCTTGAGTGGAGACCTCCACTGCTGGGGTGTGGCAGGGAGCCGGTACAGACTTTAGTTTCCAGCCCCAGGTTACGATTTTGTGTGTAAACTCACCGGTGGTGGTTCCAGCTTCTGGGAGCTGGGTGGCAGTGACATCTGCGAGGACAGCTTGGTTGCCTCCTCAGACTAATGCTTCCCTAGTTTTCCAACCGCCCAGCGCGCTTCTGGGCGGCCTCTCCAGGTGGAGGACCAGTGCTTTGCCCTGCAGCTTCTGGGGAGTTCTCACTGTCCCCACATCCCCTCCTGCGGTGTGAGCCTCGCTTGCAGTGACCCGCACACTCAGGCTTCCCCAGGCAGGCAGGGCTGGCTCTGGCCTGGGCTCCCCAGCTGTGTCTCGTAGCCTTGGGAGCTGCCAGCCCCGTGGAAGTGGCTTGCGTCTGCAGCCAGCACAACGGCGAGGACGGGGCCCCGGAGCACTTGTGTTCTTGAGCGTGGCAGTTAGCGGCACGGCATCACCTGGGAGGCATCTCAGTGTTTGGATGCGCTCCCAGTCTTATGTGCCCTGAATCTCAGGCTCCCGCAGTTTGGCCTGTGAGTTTCCTGACAAGAAGTCTTTGGTCGGTTTCCTAACGTACGAGGGCCCTTGGGGGAAGATGGCACCTGTCTGCCCGCGCTGCCTGTGGATGCGTGGGCAGTGGAGCGGCCGGCGCCCCTGCAGGCAGCTCTTTGTTGACGGTCTCAGAAGAGGCTGGCCAGGGTGTGTAGTGGGATGTCTGGTAAGCATTAGCAAGGAGCACAGTCACGGTCAGATTCCTCCGTTTGCAGCAGTGCACCTGAGCTCAGTACAGTGGCCAGACGGGTTTTATCCTTTTTCCTACAAATTAATTTTTGAGCCGTGGTTTGTTTGTGGGCCTGGGCCCCCCACTCTAGGTCCCGATTAGCGGACGCCCCACTGTGAGTCCTCTGTCCGGAGCTGCACGCCTCTCCGCCTGGCCTCCCACCCTGCCCGGTGGGCCTCAGAGCCATGGCGACGGAGGAGAAGAAGCCGGAGACCGAGGCTGCCAGAGCCCAGCCCACCCCTTCCTCGTCGGCCACACAGAGCAAGGCAAGTCCCCAGGGGCGCCAGGGACCTGCAGGCGCACCTGGGCTGCAGGGCTTCTGGGTGTTCTCAGGCCCATCAGCCTGCCCTCCCTCCTCGGTCAGAAGTTTCCGGTTTTGTTCATCCGTGTGTCATGTGGCGGTTCCCAGCCCTAGGCTCCTCGGTCCCCATCAGAAGACAGGGTCTGGTGTGCAGCGAGCCCCACCCCCAGCCGCCCTGCCCCCAGGCCCCCAGCTCTGACGCCAGGGCAGGTCTGCAGATCGCCCTGCAGACCCCAGGCAGGCTGGAGGTTCGGGCGGGGCACTGTCCCAGAGCTCCGCCTGGGGGGTGGGGTGGGGGCAGTGGTCCCCACACTGAGGTGGGGGGCTGCAGGGGGAGGAAGGGCTCCGTTTAGACTCGTTCAGTTCGAGACGTGCCGCAGACGGAGTTCAGGGAGGCACTTGGCACTGAATGGAGCCCAAACGTAGGTCTGAGTCGGAGGTTAGATTTTGGGAATTAAACCCAGACTGGCCTTCAGCTAAACTGGGTGGTGCTGGTCACTTTTTGCTGATGAGCATTGTCTTTTCACCAGCCTACGCCCGTGAAACCAAACTATGCTCTGAAGTTCACCCTGGCTGGCCACACGAAAGCTGTGTCCTCTGTGAAGTTCAGCCCCAATGGCGAGTGGCTGGCGAGTTCCTGTAGGTACCGGCGGGGCCTCAGCTGCCGGGAGGAGCCCGTTGGGGGGGGCTTCCGATACCTGCCCCTCTGGGTCGGTGTAGCCTATGAGCCAAGAGTTGGACTGTCGGGAAGTCCCTCCCTGTTGACTTGTGCCCCTTGCCACTGGGAGCAGGGGGTGGGGAGAGGGGAGGGCGCTGGCCCTCTCTCGTGGTTCAGCCCCTCCCACTGTTTCTCAGGGGCTTCTGCAGGGAGGGCCAGGTGGTGGACACTGGGCGACTGGGCAGCCGGGCCCTTTGCTGCTTCTCTCTTTCAGCTGCAGACAAACTCATTAAGGTCTGGGGCGCCTACGATGGGAAGTTTGAGAAAACCATATCCGGGCACAAACTGGTAGGTGTCCACCCTGCATCCCGAAGGTGACCGCTGGGCAGCCCGTGCCGGCAGCCCGCCGGGGGAATCATGTTGCCTTTCCCCTGAAATCCGTTCTGGGGGTTATTTGCCATTCGTTTGTTTGCTTGTTGAAATACACGGGCGGTTTATTTAGAAGGTCGCTGGGGTGGAAAAGGTGAGCCAGCTTGGCTGTGTGGCGGAAGAAGGGCCTGTGGAGCTCGCGGCCCAGTGCAAGGCCGGGCGGCCTGGCCTGTCTTCCTGTGTGGTCAGCGGAACGTGGCCATCGCATAGCGGGGGGCCTGCTTGTCTGTGTCTAGCTGGGGGTCGGGGTCCGCCCCCGCCTTCACCGAGACCATGGCCTGTGTGCCCCTCGTAGGGAATATCAGACGTGGCCTGGTCCTCAGACTCCAACCTCCTGGTCTCCGCCTCAGACGACAAAACCCTGAAGATCTGGGACGTGAGCTCGGTGAGCGGCTCGGGCCCCGCCCCGGAGGCCCGCCCCCGGGTCTTGGAGGGGGCCGTGGGCGAGGTGCGGGGCAGTGGCGTCCAGACTGACCCCCGCCGCCGTTGCAGGGGAAGTGCCTGAAGACCCTGAAGGGGCACAGCAACTACGTCTTCTGCTGCAACTTCAACCCGCAGTCCAACCTCATCGTCTCGGGCTCCGTGAGTCGCCGCCAGCACCCGGGGGTCGGAGGTGGGGGTCGGGGGAGGGGCTGTCACTGAGCTCCTCTGCGTGGCTGGGCAGTGGCTGGTCTCGGGCCCGGGGACTGTCCTGACCTCTCCTCCCGTCCTCAGTTTGACGAGAGCGTGCGGATATGGGACGTGAAGACCGGGAAGTGTCTCAAGACTCTGCCGGCTCACTCGGACCCCGTCTCAGCTGTGAGTCCCTCTCGTCACCGCCCAGTCCTGGGAGCCAGCCGGCAGTGCACAACGATGACCGGGGCTGGGGTGCTAGGGACCCCGGGTGACCTCACGGTCCCTGGGAAGGACCGGTGGTTGTGGGGGGAGTGTCCCCAAACTTGATCTTGAGCGGGGCAGTCAGTCCTGGAGAAGGAACCCCGCCTGGGCAGGGTGGTAGGTGGAGTGCAGTTCAGGTGGGATCAGTCGCTGGGATCATCGGGCCCCCGGGTACCCACTGGGTGTGGTCCTGGCCCTGCCGTTTTGTGGGTGGTGGCAGCATACGCAGCGAGGACACGGGGTCACCACATGCGGCCGTCAGCTGCTCCATGTGAAACGCGGCCACAGTGCTCCTTGGTCCGTGTGGAGCCTGAGGGGGGCATCAGTCCCGGACGGAATCACGTGCGAACAGAAGGCTCCTCGTCACGGGACAGCTGGTTCCCCCCACCCATCAGGTCTGGTGGGCGTCCCTGTGAGCACCTGCCTCACAGCCCCTCTGTGTTCTTGTGGTGCCCCAGTCCCAGTGGTCCTCCCGGGTGCCTGTCCGATGCCCGAGCGAGCCTTGGTGGGCAGACGAGCTGCACCGGCCTTGGCGGTGCTTGGCACGGTGGGAACGAAGCACAGCGTCAGTGCGCGGGTCCGGGGCCTCTGTGAGGGTCCGCTGCAGGTCAGAGGGGCGGGCGGCTGTGGCCGGGTCGCCGTGGGTTAGGAGACGCCTGGGCCGGACACAGTTGGTGGCAGTACTTGCAGCACCAAAGGGCTTTGGCCGATGCGGCTGGTGGGAGGGGAGGGCACTCAGGCCGCAGCTGGGCGGCTCCTGGAGCCAGGCTGTGGGCACCCGGGTCACCTGCCGCCCGTGGCCACCAAGCGCCGTGTTCAGGGAGGGATGCCCGTGCGTGCAGGGCTGGCTCTGGGGTCCCTGGGCCTTGTGGAGTGCCGGACTCCCGGCTGGGCCGCCGGGTGCGGAAGCAGCAGCAGGCTCCAGGCGGGCCCGTCGGTGGGGCCGCGCCTGTTCCTTGTGGCATCTGCTTGGAGACGTGAGACTGCCCTTGTGCGTGGGGCTCGCGGGCGTCACAGGCGGGCTGATGGCCCAGCACCCCTGGGCAGGAGCGGGGCGCCGTCCCAGCCTCCAGCCCTCGCTGCGTCTGGTGATGGTGGCTCCGTGTCGCAGGCGTGGGGACGTGTTTGTTCCACAGCGTGGTGCCCACGGCACCTCTTGAGTCGGGCACAGGTGCGTGCAGAGAAGAGTGTGGCGACATCGGTCTGGGCGTTGCGGGGGGCTGCTGCCTAGCCCTGGGTGGAGGACCCCCAGGTCCCCGCTCCTCGATGCCTCGGGGGGGGTTCCCCGTCACAGGGAGCAGGGTGGCGTTGGAACGGGGCCACTGGTCGTGAAGGGCTCGTCCCGGTGGAGTGGGCCCAGGACTCGAGTTAAATCAGCAGAAGCCAGTGGTGAGCTGAGCCCCTCATGTGGCGGTTCTTCCGCCCCCACGAAAACTCGGGGGTGGGGAGGAGAACTCGAGGGCGGATCAGCCCCAGGAGAGGCCTGGCAGAGGAACCTGTGTGGGGCGGGCCTCTGGCCCCCCTGCAGCGGGCGGGCGGCCCCGGGCTCTCAGAGGAGAAGGCAGTGAGGCGGCGCCGTGGGGTCGCGCTGGTCCAGGGCGCGGGGCTTGAGCAGCCCGGGTCTCTTTCTGTCTCCTCTGCCAATCCAGAAGGCCCCGGCAGTCCAGGGTGGGGACTTGTGGCTCCCGGTGGTCGGCGGGCAGAGCTCCTGGGTGAAGGCCACCGCACCATGGGTTTTTCTCCTGGCTTTTGTTGCTTTTGTAAAGGAAGGCTGGGACGTCCTTTGTGGCCCCCGGGGGTCTGGCAGACACGGGTCCTGGCTGGTTCCACAGGACTCGACCTCACTGAGGGGTGGCTGCCCTGAGTGAGCGCCCTCTCCGGGCTGCCTCAGGCTGCTCCTGCTGTGTCTCATCGTCAGACCAGCTTCGGGTGGGACACCAGGAGAGTGACCGTCCCCACGCTGCCCGTGGGTCTGGAGGGGAAGGGGGGTTGGCTCAGGGAGGGCCGTGTGTGGGCGGTTTGAACGTGAGTCTCTCCTGCCAGGTGCACTTCAACCGTGACGGGTCCCTGATCGTGTCCAGCAGCTACGACGGACTCTGGTGAGCGTGGTGGCCTTGGCTCCAGCCTTGGGGACTCGGGCAGAGGGCCGTGGAGGCTGAGAGCCTGCAGCCGGTGGGGCGGCCGGGACGAGGAAGGGGCTGAGTTCCCTGAGGAGGAGTCCGCGCTGCCCCACCTGGTGTCCCACCGAGGGAGTGTCTGTCCTGAACAGGGGCGTCCAGACACATCCCACTGCAGACGGGCTGCCGGAGGCCGAGCGGCAGGGTCTCGGGCAGAGGGTCCCACTCGGCCTCGGCTGAGCTGGCAGAGCTCAGGATGCGAACCCCACCGTGGGGCTCGGAGGCGGGAGGGGGAGCTAGTGGACGGATTTAGTGGAGTCCACGGGGGCCGTGCGGGCCGGGGGCTGGGCTGGGTTTGGAGGGGCACTCCCGCCAGGGACACCTGTAAAGGCTCTCGAGTCCTGGTGGGCCAGGGGCCCGCTGGTGGCTGAACTGGAGGCGTACTCTTGGGCAGGTGGCGGGTTCAGGTCAGATCTCCGACCCTCCCTGGTCTCCTGGGTCACTGCAGGCCCGGCCAGGACAGGCAGGTGGGAGGCAAGAGCGGCTCCGCCACAGGTGGCTTGTGGGCACAGCGCCCTGACTCGGGAGAGGTGCTGGGCGAGCGGTGGGGCCCGGCCGTGGGCACGCCAGGTGGGACAGTGTGTGGCCGGGGACTGTTCACGTGCTGCCGGCTGTGACCGGCTTTTGGCCTGCTTCTGCTCTGCAGCCGGATCTGGGACACCGCCTCTGGCCAGTGCCTGAAGACGCTGATTGGTGAGGCTGCCGGGCCCTGCTCTGTCCAGGGTCCCTGCGGGCGACCTGGCGGTGGGGGGTGGGTCCGCTCCAGCAGCGCTTCCCGCCCTCGCCTCCTGTGGGTTCCAGGAGCCCTCGTCCTGAGTCTTGGCTCCGTCACTCAGGCTGGGGACTCTTCCTCCCCACATGAGGTCGGGGCTGTCCCAGAGCCGGAAGTGCCCGTTCCCCTTTGGGCGGTCCTTGCAGTGCCGACCCCTCAGCTGCGTCCTGTGGAGCCGCCTGGTCAGCAGCGAGGGTGTGGGCGACCAGGGCGTGGACGGGTCTCAGGAGGAATTTGGGGGTCTTCGCTGAAACTGACAGACCCCCGAAGCTTCCTGTGTCCCAGGAGCCTCAGCTGAGCTGGGGCTGCGGGGTTTCCAGTTGCGGGTTTGATCCTGTGCTGTCCCGCAGCCCTGCCCCCGCCCCCTCGTTGTCCCGGCTGGAAGAGAGGAGGTGCCCTGCGCCCCCCCCCCCCCACCCCCCCCAGGTCCTGAGTTGAGAAGGGTGCTTCCCTTCCTGTCCGGGGCCGAGGCCCAGGCCCCCTGTGTCAGCTGCTCTGTCCCCACGCAGATGACGACAACCCCCCTGTGTCCTTCGTGAAGTTCTCTCCCAACGGCAAGTACATCCTGGCCGCGACCTTGGACAAGTACGTGTCCTGCCTCCCCCGCCTGCAAGGAGCGGGTCCCTGTGTGCAGCTAGGTGCTGGGGTGGGCTGGGGACCTCTGCCCTGAGCCTCGGACCCCCTCGCCCCAGGGTCAGATTCCCCGCAGCCATGGGTCTGACCACCCCGCTCTGTGGGAGGTCCTCTGGCACGGGCTTCCCGGTGCACACAGTGGGGGGGCCCTCGGGGCCGCCTGGCCCGGGCCCCAGGCTGGTTTCCGCCCCTGCGCCCTGCGTGGGGTGCCTCTCCGCCCCGGATTGAGGGGGAGGGTGGCGCTCAGGTCTGTCTGGGCGTCTCTGGAACCAGGCCTCCCCGAGTCCTTGTCACGCGGCAACCAGACGACCACTGAGTGGTTGGGGGCAACGCAGCAGCCTGTCCTCGACCTGTAAACGCTTGGGGTCCTCACACTGTGCCCGGGGGTGCCCTTAAGTCCCTGGGGTCCAGTGTCCCCGCACCATGCTGGGCCCCTGCATGTAGAAGGGGGTGGGGAACAGCCCACCCTTGCTTAAGACTCGGGAGCAGCAGGAGGGGGCGCAGCGGCAGCAGGCAGCCTGGAGAGACCTGGGGTGCGTGTCTGACCCCCCCCTGCCTTGCAGCACACTGAAGCTCTGGGACTACAGCAAAGGGAAGGTGAGTGCGGCTGGGAGACCTCTGGCTGAGCCTGGGCTGCAGGCGTGTGGGGCCCGAGAGTGGCTTTTGATGGTGGCAGCGCTGAGCCAGGCCCCGGGGAGAGGGGACCCGGAAGCCGTCCCGTGGTGTGGGCTCAGTGCAGGTTTCTCAGAGACGTGGGGTTCACCGGTGGCCAGCGGGCAGGCTGTGGCTGGACCCCGGGGGCTTTGTGCCGCGGCCTCGGGGTGCGTTTCAGGTCCCGCCTGGGCAGCCTTCCCAGGCCTGCGCGCCAGTCTCAGGGAGACGTGCGGAAGGCGGGCACGTCTGAGCGGGGCCGCGGCCCTTGTCTTCCCAGTGCCTGAAGACGTACACCGGGCACAAGAACGAGAAGTACTGCATCTTCGCCAACTTCTCGGTCACCGGCGGCAAGGTAAGGCTCTGGGTGCGCTGTGCCCGGGGGACCAGCAGGCGTTTTTCCGTTGACCAGAGGAGGTCAGGTGGCCCAGGTGGTGACCCGCCCAGAGGGGGGGCTGCCCCGTAACCTGCCGGGTTCGCTCACAGAGGCAAGGGCTCCGTGCCCCCGTGACAGCTGCTGCTCAGCCGGCCGGGGGAAGGGGTGGGGGACCGGCTGGCTCAGGGGCTGGAGTCCTGAGTCTTGAGGGCCACTCCGGAGCCCAGCCCCAGGCCCCACCCACCCCACTGCCCTGGTGTGTGACCAGGAGACTGTGACCTTCATCTTAGGGAGTGGCAGTTTAAGAGAACATTGGACTGGGGGTCGGGGAAGCCCCTGATGCCTTTTCTGTGCGGCGGCGCCCAGGTGCCGGTGATGTCATTCAGAACACTTCTGTGGGGTCACGTCGTGATGGCTGTCACGTCAGCACGCGTTTAAAAAGTCATCAAAATTGGTGCTTTTTCTGTGTGGTCATTTTAATGTTGAAGATGGAAGAAAATACCCAACAACTTTAGTGTATTTCTTATTATTTCAAGAAAGGTAAAAATGCAGCTGGAGCCCACAAAAGGACCTGGCCCGTGTGTGGAGGAGGTGCTGTGACCGAGCGTGTCAGACGGTGTGCGGGGCTTCTTGTCTTCCGCTCGTGGAGCGGTCTGGCACCTTGGCCGAGCACCTCTCTCCGTGGGGCCGTGTCCTGCACCGGGCACTGAACACCAGCATCCTGTCGTCCGCAGCTGCCGTGCGGCAGTGCCCTCGGCCTCCCCGCCAGGAGCGGGGCGGGAGGTGCCGACGTGCTCAGAACCTCCAAATCAGTGGTTATTGGTGAAAATGGGAAGTGTCTCATTTTACAGAAGAGACTCAATGGGCTTTCTGGCCGCCGCAGTGCGTCCCAGGCGCCCGCCATGTGCCGGCCGGGGGGCTGGGGGCCTGGGGGGCAGAGCTGGCCTGGCTGGGACGGCTGTCCTCCAGGACTTGGTGGCTGGGCCCCCCCCCCCGCCGCCCCCGGTGCCAACAGAAGGTGCGGGCTCGCCTCACCCCATCCTCGTTCCCCAGTGGATTGTGTCGGGCTCGGAGGACAACCTGGTCTACATCTGGAACCTGCAGACGAAGGAGATCGTGCAGAAGCTGCAGGGCCACACAGGTGAGCTCGCCCGGGGCCTCGGGCCGCTCGCCCACGGCAGCTGTGGACGAGACAGGACGCTGGTGTTCAGTGCCCGGTGCCGCCTCTTTCCTTGGCCCTCTGGTGGCCTGCGGACACCACACGTCTGGAGGTGACTGGCCAGGGCCAGGCAACTTCAATCTGTATGTCTCCGGCTGCCTGAGCCCTGAGGGGCTGCCCCTGCCGGCTCCTCAGCACCTGGGGTCCCCTTCTGCCTGTGCTTGGCACTCGGAGGGCCGGTCCGTCCTGCACCTTGTGCAGCCAGCAGAGAGCAGTGTGTCCGACGCACCCCCTAAAACACAGCCCTCCGTGTGGCTTCCTCCTGGAGTGAGAGGGTCACCGACAGTGGCCTGTGCCCAGCACGGGGCTCTGTGCTCCTCGGGGACAGCCTGGGAGGAAGCTCGGCCCCTGGGGCCAGTGCCGTCCCCCGTGGGCACACCAGCCCCTAGAGGCTGCTGCTCCGCACAGCCTTCCGTCCCGGACCGGGGCTCAGTGTCATGGGGGCCTGCTGCCTGCCCCCCGCCTGTCCTCTCCCTGTCCGTCTTTCCGTCCCCAACCCCCTGTCCCCTCGCTCCTCTGTGCGCATTGCTGTCCACAGTGTGTGGCCATGTGTGCCAGTGGTCATCGCTGGGCGGGCAGCAGCCGGGGGGTGGGGCAGTGGCCCCCATGCCCAGAAGCAGCTGCGGTGACTGTTGTTGGCTTTCAGACGTCGTGATCTCGACGGCCTGCCACCCGACGGAGAACATCATCGCCTCGGCCGCCCTGGAGAATGACAAGACCATCAAGCTCTGGAAGAGTGACTGCTAGGCCCCAGGGCCACGGGGCCACCAGGAGGCCGCCGGGTTGGCAAGGAGCGAGGCGTCTCGGGGGCTCCCGGGTCCCGGCCGGGGCACCTGGGAGGGCCCGGACTTGAGCTGCCTCTGAAGAGGATGAGCCGAGGGGAGGTGTTACCATCAGAAAGTTCCAGGAGGCATTTCCTGCCAGTTCCTCTCACACTGTCTGGGGCAGAGTTCCTAATCTGTGTTGTGTTCAAACAGTCCACGAAAATTTAATTTTTTATTACAGAGGGTGAGGTGAAGTTCAGTTTATCGAGAGTTGCGTGTTTTCCAGTAAATGTTCTGTGCTGTTCTCCATGTCTCATTGCCCAGTCGCTGCCCGGTGCTCCGGCCCCGCCTCCGCGGCCCCGCCCTGTGCAGCGGACACTGTCCCGATGAGCCAAACCCCCCCCTTCCTGCTGCAGCGGTCCCTGTGGGAGGCTGTGTCTGCGAGACCCCTCTGGTCAGGGGCCCTGTCCCCGTGTCGGTGGCTCTCCGTGGCCCCTGCACGGGTCCCTGGTGCTCACACAGCCGCAGCCCCGGACTGAGGAGGCGTCTCCACTGCTTCTGCGCTGCAGGAGGTGGGAGGACTCAGTCAAGGACAGGCTCCTCCAGTGGCACGTCCTTCTGTCCTTGTCCCCAGGAGCTTGGGGCCGCCGGGGGACGCGCTCTTAGGGGCGTCCTTGCTGCAGTGGAGGCGGAGCCCTGAAACGCCCAAGGGAACACGGCAGACGCTCTCTGCTGGCTGGGGCGCCGAGGCCCCGGTCCCTCGTTCCAGGCTTGGGCTCCGCTCTGCGGGGCGTGAACGGGCGCCCGGCCTACTGCCGGCTGAGGCCAGGCGGGCTCCTGGGGCCCTCGGCGGCCAGCTGCTCACAGGTTGCTGGTGTCACTCTCCTGCCCATCCCTCCCCGCTGGCCTTCTGTCCACAGTGGTGGGCATGGGGCAGGGACTGGAAACTGCCGCCAGTCCACGGGACCCCTGCGTGGAGCGAGGTCCCCCCTGGGGTGTGAACCCAGTCTGCCAGCCCCGAGACCTCTGGTGGAAGCGCAGGGGAGGCCCAGTCCTGCCTGGGGCGATGGGCTTGGTGGTGGTCTCTCCCTTTCCAAGGCCACGTCCCGGTTCTGGGCTGGACAGTGCCAAGTGGTGGACAAAGCCTGGGGCCTTCGGGCAGGCAGGCGGGCGAGGATGTGGGGGCGCCCCCAGGCTTCAGGGGCACCTCCGGGGCCCTGTTGCACGGTGAGCGTGGCGGCTCTAAAGGCCTCCGGGAACGGGCTGCCCCCAGTCCCCGTCTTCTGGAGGTGGGAGCCCTCGGGCTGCCTGTCGGGGTGGGGGGTGGACGGCCGCATGGTGTGGGTCAGCCACTCGGGCTGGGACCTGCCCTTGCAGCGCGTTCTGATAGGCAAAGCCGAGGTCCCGTGTCGGCGTCCGGCGGCGTGGCTCCGTCCTGGGGCCTGCGGAGGGACGCCCAGGCCCCTTGGTTCTGTGGGTGCTGCTGTTGGTTGGCCGGGCGGTGGCAGGGTGTGTGTGGAGCACTGTCCCCTTGAATATAGTGTATTTTTTCTACTTTGGAATTCTCTGTTGTAGATTTATGTAAAAATGCATTCTTTTTGAAAATAAAGATTTTCATGTCTTTTATTTTTGTCCACTAAGAATTTTTTTACCTTAACGTGTAGCTGTTATTTCGGGGAGGACTGAGCACAGACCTTCCCTGCGGGGCGCTCTGAGGAAGGCACTGTTTGGTTTGGTTTCCTTTTTAATTTTAAACAGCCTTGAGTGTTGTGGATGATACACATTTGCATGAATTTGCATGGATGATACACAGTATGAAAGAAAGAGGCAAACACAAGAAGCCCCCGGGATCCCTGCTACCACGTTGGGGGCGTCTAGACCGCAGGAGGCAAACACGAGGCCTGCGGGTGTGACCTGGCCCTCCACCTGCTTTTACCCTCCTGCCGCCTTGTTGCTGCCTGGCCGCAGAGGCACCAAGCTCTGGCTTAAGTGTTAAAAGAGTAGCTATGTTCGCCCTTTGAAGGCAACCACCGGGGTGATGTGGCCCCGGGTGATAATGAGTTTGACACCCCCGATCTAGTATATTCACTAAAAGCAGAACTTGATTACAGAACGTTTCAGAGAGAAAGTGGAGAGAAATCCTCATGTCCCAGGCGTGGTTTCTGTGTCCCTTCCCCGTTACTTAGAATAAAACCCCAGACATTCTACTTGTCAATGTAAGAGACATGGAAACCTGTAAGGATTTTTTTTACGAGTTTATTTGGGACAAACTGATGACAATTGCCACGAAGCAAAATCCTGGTGGATCGAGAAGACGCTCCGGAAAATGGCCGTTTTGCAGCTTCTTTTATACATGAAACTCGAGGGGGAAACCTGAGGGACTCTGAAATCCTTGGGTGGCAGACAAGGGCACAGGGAGGGAGCGAGGCAGGGGCGGGGAGAACCCGGGATTGGACAGAAACGAGGTGGTGGCCGGGAGCTGGTTTGACTGCTAACGAGCAGGGTCTGGCGGTCTCTGGAGGTGGCTGCGCTGTGAGGGGCGAGAGGGAAGGAAGCGACTCCGACGACCCAGAGGCCTGTGGCTGCGGACGCAGACAGGCACGCCCAGGTGAAGGCCGACCTCCGTGGGCGCAGGGGCCTGCCTAGCACAGGAGCGCGGCGTGAACCGCTGGGCAGTCCCACGCGGCTGCCCGGAGCCCGCCAGGCCGCGGCGCAGGCCTCCCCGAGCTCCTCGGGCCTCGCGTGCGCGCGTGTTTCGTCCACACGTTATTCGAGCAGTGAACACACAGCACCTGTGAAAGACGCTTCAAGAGCATTCGTGCGCACAATACCACAGTCACACCCAAAATATACTTTAATGAAATATCTGATATTCTGATTTCCCCAGTTGTCTTCATATCTTTAGAAAAGTATGTATACACGTGTATTCAATGTCCCCGAGCACAGAGCTGGTTGCACCTGCGTTGGGTGGGTGGGTGTCCAGGTCCCGGTCTCCGCCCCCCGGGGTCTGCGCCCCGGGCTGCACGTGCGGCCCGGCTCCCGGGAAGCTCGAGGGTGGTGCTGGGCGCTTTTCCCGGCGACGGCAGCCTCCGTCGGGCCGGTCCGATGTACCTTCATCATCGAAGTCCTCAAGCGAGCTCTAGGTTCAGACCACAGCACTGTGTGAGCTCGGGACACCGGGGAAACGTGCTGCCCGCCCTCGGGGCCGCTTTTCCGGGGGCTTCCGCGTGGGGGTGCACATCCCTTCCGGCTCTTTGGCCTCGGGGGGCGGCCTGGGGGCGGCAGCGCTCCCCTCCAGGCGGCTTCGGGTGCAGCAGGGACGCGTACGCCGGGCCCGGGCGGGGGGGGGCGGGCAGGAGTGGGGTGGAGGCGCAGAACCCGCGGGAGGGAAGAATCCTGACTGTCGGTGAGAGGCGCGGGAGCCCGGCGTGGCCGCCAGCAGCTCAGAGGAGTACAATTCGCCGGACCCGGGACAAAAAAACAGTGGTTAGATGCCACGAAGTAGGTGGCAATGCCTTAACCGTATGTGTGTTGTTAGGCCCAAGGGCCTCTTCCATCCTTGTCAAGGGGAGTGCTAACCTTCTCTCCTTTCATACAACACGCTTTTTATTTCGTGAGCCAGCTATTTAAAGACCTATTTCTTAGTCACCTCACGTTTATGATGACTTTACATGCGTGTCTGAAACACATGAATGAAAGTACTCACAACCTTCCGAAACTTCCACAGCTACCCTAAAACGCCTATATTTTGATTTAGGCTGGTGGGAAACCCTTTATTTTCCATTCCCTAATATATTCATAAATCTGGCCAATCAGAGGCTGTTAAGAGCACCCGGAAGTGCTCAGCATCCTTCAGCAAACTCGATTCCCCCGGAAACAAAATAGCGATTGCCACAGCGATGGTCTGGAAATGGTTCGGATCTTTCTGCGGAAATGAACGTAGTTTGTAGCGAATCAGAGGACGAGGAAAGAAGATCGGCATCCCGGGCTTCCGGACGCGGCTCTGCGCTTGGAACTGTGGGTGCTAGGGGCACTGGGACACGTTGACGTCGCCCGCCTGCGCCCTAGGGTCCGCAGCCCCCCCCCCGCCTGGTGTCTGCGCATGCCTGTACACGTCTGTGGTCCGCAGGTTCGAGCCCCGGCGAGGGCCCACTCTTTGCGGACCGGTCTCCGCCTCTCCCGGCCTCCTTCCCTCGGGGTTGTAGGGTTTGAACCCGACGCCTCGCGTGCCCGCCGCCCGGCAGTGCGGACGGTGGGTCGCCGCGGCTCCCGCCTGCCTTCTTCTCGCGCGCCGCGGCCCATCTCCGGGCGGTGAAGCGGGGCCTCCCCACGGCCGCGGGCGGGCGGACCCGGGGGTGCGTGCGGGTCTGGGTGCCCCTCGGGGGAACCACGTGGGCTGCGTGAGGCCGGTGTTTGTGAGCCGTGCGTGCGTGGGTGCGTGCACGTGTGTGCAAGGGACGCGCCCACCTGGGCGGAGTCGCGGTGTGGTCCCCGCCTGTGTGTCCGCGCACGCTCACGCCCGCCACGCCCGCGTGCACAGACACAGGAGGGCCGCGGACCGAAGGGGCGCCGGGCGGGCTGGGGCGCCGCTTCCTGTAGGGGGTAACCCTCGCCTGCAGCCGGCCCTGTGCTACGAAGTGTCGGGTAAGCCCGTGCGCTCCAGGTCGGCAGCTCCGCGGGGTCGTACGGAAGGTCTCTGCCCACCTTTGCAGAGCGCGCGTGGAGAGAAGAGCGGGGGGCGTGGCCAGGGGACAGGTGGGCGCCCAGAGGCGTGAGGGACGGGGGCGGGCAGCGGCGTCAGCTGGCCGTGTGTGGGCCGCCTGACCCGGGCGAGTCCTTTCTGCCCCGCATTCGCACTCCCCTCCACAGCGTGAGCCCTGGGTGCAACCCAGGGGAGATGTGGAGCAGTGTTGAGGCCGGGCCAGCTCCCAGCGCAGCGCCGTACGTGGGAGTCCTTAGCACCCGCCGTGTGCTGAGGCCTGGGTGGCCCTGCACCAGTGTGCCATAGTTCACTCCCACATCCCAGAAGAAGGTGCCAGCAGCACCCCCATTTATAGCCGAAGACACAGGCCGAGGGGTTGGGTAACTAGTGCCAAGTTACACCTCTGGTGGCACAACAGATGGGCTGAGCCTGGCGGTGGGTGAGGTCGGGGGTTCTGCACTCTCTGCAGCTTGAGCCGGACTCGGGTGCTCACAGCTGGGTCCCTGCCCTCCACCAGCCGGCCCCCTGCCTCCGGCCTCCTGGGCCCCTCAGGTCTGGTCACACGGGCTGCGCGTGAGGTGGTGGGGTCCGAGGGATGTCTCCTGCCCACCACCGCCAGGTTATGTGGGGCCTCCCCCTTCCCTTTGGTCTGCAAGTCCTGGTCCCCATGGGCTTGGAAAGAAGGGGCAGCTGGCTCCTCAGGAACTGCAGACCAGGTCTCTCAAGCTTGGGGATGAAGAGGAACTGCCTGGGGTTAAATGCTGGTTCCAGGCTCCCCCCAGTCTGAACTGGGGCCTGGGACCAGGCCCAGGAGTCTGCATTTACAAATCCTGTTTGTGCGCCCCCCGGCCCCCATCCTGGCAGCCTGCTTTTGCTCTGGGGACTTAGCAGTGATGACACAGGACATGGGAAGCATTTGTGGAGTGAGGCAAACAGCAGTGTCGCAAGGGGAGGTGGCAGAAGGTCAACACTGGGAGGACCTGGGGGGGAGGACCCAGAGACCAGCTGCCACTCTCTGTGGCCTGGGCGCTGCACTGACCTGGGTTCATGGGCCAAATTTACTGAGGTTGCTCCCCCCGCCCCCCATCTACGGCGACCTGGGACAGGAGTGTGGGCAGATCCCTTCTGCCCCTCAAGTGATGTGCACCAGCTCAGCTAGCGCCTACATGCAAGCTTTGTTAGTCTGTGGTGGCCACCAGGGAGACCCTGACCATCAGCCCCGCCTGGCACGTTCCCACCTCCATCCTGGGTGTCCCTGGGCCAGTGGACTGTCTGCCACGCTCCCGGTGTCCTGGACAGGAGGCCGGTCACCTGCAGGGACTTCACCAGGATGGAAACATGCGGATGGACAGACGCTGAGTATCCTTCCCCGGGGTCTGTCTCCAGAGGCCCCTGCATGAAATCAGGGGCTACACCCAGAGAAAGTTCCAGAAGCAAGAGAACGGGCAGTCATTTTGCACAGGCGGAAACAGGAGGGGAGGACTGGCCCACAGGCAGCCAGCGAGTTGTCCATAAGTGTTTGGGGTGAGGGCCCAGCCCCTGACTCCCACAGGTGGAAATGGAGCCGGTGGGGTTCCCGGCAGCCCCGGTGAAGCCCAGCCTTTCCCCTCGTGGGTCCTGGTACAGCTGCCCGATGAGATACCAGGCCCCCGTTTCGCTGGAATCTCGGATCATCCTTACTATTTTGTGGAAATGTATTCACCGATTATCTGAAATTCAAATTGAACCGAATGTCCTGGATAATAATTAGCTCAATTCAGCAACCTTGGCAATGGGAGGGGCCCCTGTCACTTTCCCAAAGTGGTCCCTGGAAATGCTTGCTTGGGAAGTTCTGTGTTAAAATTTCGGACTCTTTCCCCAGCCCCATCCCCTGCCCTTTGTGAGAATGAGCCTGGGGGTAAGTGGCATTTAGGATCTGGGCCAC